ATCGGAGATACTGACTCCGTGCAAAAGGAGGATCCCTCCTGCACGGGAAGTGAAAGCCTCCATTTCTGGAGCCCCAGAAGAGAGTGAATCCTCAGCTTTTCCCAGGCCGCCTCTGACCGCTGCAGACAGCGTCTCCGGCTGATACAAACCAGAGGACGCAGCCGGGTTGTGAAACGGCGGGGTCACGGGGCTGCTCGCGGCAGGCCTCGGGGCCCTCGAGCAGTTACAACATCCAGGCTGGGGGAGCCAAAAGATCCCGGGAGCTGCCAGGAGGGTGAGGGGGGGAACGGGACAGGGGGAAGAAGTGGAGGAAAGGACAGAAGGAGAGAGGGGCTCCTGGTCCCGAAGGGCTGGGGACAGGGCTGAGCGAGCCAGCTGTGCTCTCACCTCCGCTTAGAGCGCAGTGGCACGCCACCCCCTCGCTCACCCCCCCAGCCGACTGCCCCCCTGGCACCTCCCCCAATGCCACAGACCCCCCCGGAAGAGTCTGCTCTCCCCCCTGCATCCCCATGGCATCGAGTCCGTCTTTCCCCTCTGTCGGCAACAGCAAAGCGAGGTATTTTGGGGATGAACAGTCCCAGCGAGGCTGCCCTGGGCCTGGGGCCATGGGGGCTTCTGCCCGGGACGGGCGCGTCGCGGCGAGGCGCGGGGTGGTGCGTGTTTGCGTGACTCCGCTTTCCCATCAAGGCCAGAATCTAAACAATCTTGATTCCTGTTCTGGCTGCCGCGGCCGGGCAATGGGCAGGGCTCCTTGAATTGCAGGAAACGGAGACATTGGCCTGTTTATGTTCGAAGCCAAAGACGACCTGAGTGAAGGGGGCCGGGGGCGGAGGGCCCCGGGCTCCTGGGCCCTTTGGAAAGGGGGCCGAGAGCGAAGGAGGCGTCTGGGAGAGGGAGGAAGGCTGGGGGCACCGGGGCAAGGTCACGTCTCCCTCTGGTTTACCTTGGCAAGCGTTTCCTTTCCACAAGGAAGAATTCAAGGGGAAACAAGCCCTCCCCCTCCACAGCAGCAGCTGGGACATTTTTGGCTGCCGGCAGCGAATGCGTTTGTATGGTCGATAAGCCAGATACAAAGCCCTCCAGGGGACCCGGCCCGCGCGTCTCGGTTAGGAACAGCTGGCTTGCAGCGCGGAGGGATGGAGCAGTGCCACGGAGCCGCGCGGTGCACAGAGAGCACCAGGGCCCAGGTGAAGAGGGGTCGAGACTATCTTCACCGGGCCTTTTGGATCCCTTCCCTTTGGAGTTTGGCTCATTGCACTGCCCCGGGACCACGCCATTCCCCTGGTGCTAGCTGGCTGCTGGGCTCCACCCCAGAGGCAGATGCATCTCAGTGCAGACAGTGCAGTAGCACAGGTTGTTATAGCCACAGGCGACCACGACAACGTGAAAGCACCGCGGGGATGCAGGTGAGCCTCAAATCACTGTGCGCCACTACGGCCAAACCAGCTACATGCACGCTGCTGACCTGGACGGTGCCGGTAGCCTCTGCCGCAGCGAACCCAGCGAGCACCACCAGACAGTTTCCGAGAGAATGGAAGGCATACCACCCTGTTCCTGTCCACTGCAAAAGTGTTGGCTACTCCTCCGAAAGGGGCTCCTATCGTCAGTCGGGGTTGGTACAGGAGTGATTTATACAGTGAAGAAAACCATCATCTTTTGTGTGCTTTATTTAGCTGGGGGGGAGCTCAAATAGCCACGTGCATGTTAAAGAACGCGTGGAATTGTTCTCAGGAAGGGGTGGTAACCGTGATGTCCGGGCCAAATTCCGCTTTCCAAATTCCACCCTACCTAGCTACATTTCCCCCTCTCTCCCACCCTAAAAGTTTCAGTTGGATACACAGCCCTTCACTTCCTCTCCAAACCCATTGTGCAGCGTGGCTGGGCCGCTGTCAAGCAGCAGCCGTGTTCTACCCCAGAAGCAGCTGCATCTCAGAGAGACCCCGGCACAGTGACACGGTGCCGCCGTGTCAGCGTGAGCATGCAAAGCTGCCTGGGATGCTGGCACAAGGCTTGCAGCAGAAATGTTGCATCTTATTGCCCAGTTCTCTGTGCTGCAGGGAGAAGGCTGCGGGGAGCCATGGGGGCCATCCTTCTGGGCGCGCTGACCCTCCTGTGGAGCTTTCCAGCCGGTAAGTAGCAGAACAGCCCAGTCCGGCTAGCGCGCGGGCAGCATCCTGCAGGGGCTGGTGCTCTCGATAGCATGCAGCAGGAGGTCGAAATACACTGCTCTCTATTTGGGGGTGCTGTTTCTGTAACTCTCTTCTCCAAATATCCCCGGGCATCTCATTCAGACTCCCCGCGTGTCTGCTCTGGCAGGCAACGCTGGACAGTGGTGGGAGGAGGGAATGCCTGGGTGCTGCTCCCGTCTGCCCGTGGCCAGCCATGGGACTCCGGACAAGTCTTTGGCTTTTTGTGTTAAATGAGCAGAATCAGGCAGACCCGCCTCCCCGGGCAGGAGGTTCATGAAGTGCGTTGGCATTCTGGGGGAAGGAGATGCCAACGAGAGATGGTTGGTATGCATGCCCTCAGGAATACAGGGCTTCCCCAGGAGATGGGGGGAATCTCTCCTCTGACCCGCTAGCTGGCCACCCACGGTATCCCCCCACATTTCTGCTAGCCCAAAGAGCACCCATTTCCATCCTGGGTCAGGACCCCACAGGAACCTGTCTGACTGCCCTCGAGCTGGACCTGGTGCTCTAGGATGCTTTAGTGTCCAGGGGCCGGGTAGTTCAGATGTGGGAGCTGAGCTGTGCCGGCGTAGGCGGGTAGGCTGGGGCCATCATCAGACCCAGGCCTGTGGGCTAAGGCAGGGGTTTCCAAATCTCACAGGGGAAACCGGGCCCCTCCCTGGCTGCTGTCTAGCTGTGCATTTTTGGCCACTGGTGGTGAATGAGGAAGAAGACGGAGGACCCAGGCTGACAGGCAGGTCCTGGGAAGAGAGAGTCTCTGTTGTGGCCTGGCTTTGGGCTGCGGGGAGGTTCTTCCCCAGGCTGCCCAGCTTGTGGCCCCAGTACCTCCTCGCTCATCTTGTCTTGAAGATGCTTCGGCCGTTGGGAAAAAAAGCTTTGGACTTTGCTGCCCTCTCCAAGCTAGTTCTTGGAGCAAAGCTCAGCAAGGGCAGCCAAGAGCAGGCTTCTTCCCCACGGCCAGCCCAGCGCTGGCCAGAGCAGCGCTGTTATTGATAGCGTGCCGGGCTCGGACTCCAAGAGTTTAATTCCCAGAGTCCACCTCCTCCCTCTGCCTTCCAGGAGGAGCGAGGGGGGAGCTGGGCCCCAGTGTCACAACCCTGAATTACGCCAGGGAAATCTTAGGAGGACGAACAAAGCCCGCTGGCCTGGGGGCACTGCCCATGCAACGGGCTGCTAAAACCCCTGCAATGCCATGGCCTGAGCCCAGCACCAGGGTCATTTTCAAGGGTGAGGGCTCACCCCCTAGGACTAGGTCCAGGTTCCCAACAGCTCCCAGCGCACTGTGAAAATCTGGTCCCCATGGCACAAATGGGACCGGCCAAATTGGCATGATCTGGGACTGCCAGTTGCAAGAAGCTGCTTTTTGTGCCCCGGAGGTGTTGAGTTGTGTCCTGGGCCGCTCGGGCTGGCGGGCGGGGGATGGAGGATGTCCTGCTCCCCAGCAGCATGGGCCTAGCAGGTCTAAGCTCCACCGGCCTCTGGCTGTGTCGTGCAGAGGGGCTGAGGTGCATCTGCGACCGGCCGCAGTGCGAGAACACCACCTGCGTGGGGAAGAAGTGCTTCGTGAGCAGGAGCCTGGAGAATGGGCACGTTGTCCGCAGCAAGGGCTGCATCAGCTCCAACTTCCAGGAGCAGTGCCAGACCGCCGCCATGGAGCAGTACGCGATGGAGTGCTGCTCCTCCAGCATGTGCAACGAGAACATGGACGTCCAGCTGAAAGGTACGGCTGTCCAGTCAGTCTGCTCAAGCAGCCGCACACCCGGGGGCTGTTTTCCCAGCTCGCGTCTTTGGTCTGTCACCTCCCCGGGTCTGCTTTGCTCACCAAGCAGGAGGGCTGGGGGGGGGCGGGCGTCCCCCCTGCCCCTGCCGCTGGCTCCGTCTCAGGGCATCATTTGCCTCCCAGAGGTGCCCCAAGGGGACACTTCTCTGAAGAACCTTCTCCTGATGATCTTCGTGCCCCTGTTGGCCCTCCTTGTCCTGGGGGTGCTCCTCACGCTCTTCTCCTGGAAGATGGTGCAGCACTGCCGGAAGAGGCAACAGTTCACCCACAACAACCTGGGGGATTTGGACCTTGTGCTGAAGGGCTCCACGGTTGGGGACAGCACCTTAGAGGTGAGTGGGCTTTACACCCCTCTGCTGGGCATGGATGCAGACGTGGACAGTCCCCTGGGCTCTGGCAAAAGGGTCTCCGAACCTCAGTGCCCTTCACCTCTTTGGACCTCAGCCCCCTGCTGCACCTCTCTCACATGCATTGGGGTAATCCCCCATGCAACTGCCCCTCAGGCACCACCAGCATGGCCTGTGCGCCCCCGTCTGCCCCCAAATCGCCCCAGGGCCACATTGCCTGCAGCATCCTACCGAGGGCCCCTTGCCACCGCTCTCACTGGCTTCCCCTGCCCTGTCCCCCCAGGACCTGCTGAGTGACGACTGCACCACTGGCAGTGGCTCCGGCTTGCCCTTCCTCGTCCAAAGGACCGTGGCACGGCAGATCACGCTGGTGGAGTGCGTAGGTGAGGAAGCCGGTCTGGTGGGCAGGTGCCAGGCTGGTCATTAGGTGCATGGGGGGAGAGGGGAGGATTTCCCCAGCTTGGCCATTGCCAGGTCCATGCCCCAGACTCTCCGTCCTTCGGCTTCTGGAGATGGGGCTGTGGATGGGGGCATTTGGGACGCATCTCTGTTAACCGAGACAATGGGTCTGATCTACACATGGCATGGCAGCCTGGGTGCTGAGCCTGGGCCTGTCTCCCAGGAGGGGTAGAGATGGTGACAGCCCCTTTGCCAGGGCAGGGTGTGTGATGCTGTGTGACGGCCTTGGCAGGAAAGGGGCGCTATGGGGAGGTGTGGCGAGGCATGTGGCATGGGGAGAACGTGGCTGTGAAGATCTTCTCCTCCCGGGACGAGCAGTCGTGGTTCCGCGAGACGGAGATCTACAACACGGTGCTGCTTCGGCACGACAACATCCTGGGTAAATAGCTGCAGCGCGGCGCTGGCGGGGGCTGGACCAGGCCCCGAGCACCGGCTCCACGGTCCCTGCTGCTTCCCCTTCCAGGCTTCATCGCCTCCGACATGACCTCGAGGAACTCCAGCACCCAGCTGTGGCTCATCACGCACTACCACGAGAACGGCTCGCTCTACGACTACCTGCAGAGGATGGCTCTGGACACCGAGACCTGCCTGCGCCTAGCCTCCTCCATTGCCTGTGGCCTGGTCCACCTGCACGTGGAGATCTTTGGGACGCAGGGGAAACCGGCCATTGCCCACCGAGACCTGAAGAGCAGGAATATCCTGGTGAAGAACAACAGGCAGTGTTGCATCGCCGACCTGGGTGAGGTCTCAGCAGCCCTCGAAAAAGCAAACCAACTGTTAGGGATTATAGAGACAGGAACTGTTAACGCAGCTGAAAGTATCACGATGCCCCTTTATAAACCCATGGGGCATCCTCACCTTGAATACTGTGCCCAGTTCTGGTCCCTGCACCTCGAAAAGGATCTAGAAGAATTAGAGAAGGTCCAGAGAAGGGCATCAAGTATGATTAGTGGTATGGAGAGCCTAATGGGCCCAGGGCTATTCAATTTAGAAAAGAGATGCTCGAAGGGGGACGTGACAAGGGATTCCAGAATACTCAGTGGCGAGGAGAAAGTAACTTAGTGGTGAAGAGAAAGGATTTATTATTGACTCTCCTGATACAAGAAGGAGGGGTCACAAAATGAAACCAACAGGTAGTAAGTTTAAAACTAACACCAGGCAATTCTTTTCCCCCAGTGTATCAGTCAAGTGGGGGGCTCGTGGCCATCAGACGTGGTGGAAGCTGAGAGCTGAGCCAGGTTCACCCAGGGGTTGGACACATGCTTGGAGGAAAGGGGCATCAGTCGCTATTGAGCATGGGAGTGAGGGCCACGGCCTCTGTATCAGAGCTCCCTGGACCTTAAATGCCGGAGGCTGCAAGAGGAAGAGTAGAAAAAACCTTGGTCAGACCCAGGCCACTCTCAGCCTCTGCTTCTGCATGACACAAGAGGCTAGGCTAGCTGGACCTAGGGTCTGATCCAGTCAATGGCAGTGCTTATGAAGGGGTTGAGCCAAGGAGAGGGGAGCTCATCTCTGCTTGTCCTGCTGCTCAGGGAAGCGCTGAGCCCATGGGCTGTCATGTGGGACCCCTGCTCAGCCTGCTCTGCTTTGCTTCCTTCCAGGCCTGGCGGTCATGCACTCTCAAGGCAGCGACTACCTGGACATCGGGAACAACCCTCGCGTGGGCACCAAGCGCTACATGGCGCCGGAGGTGCTGAATGAGCAGATCCGTACAGATTGCTTTGAGTCCTACAAGCAGACGGATATCTGGGCGTACGGCCTGGTGCTGTGGGAGATCACCCGCAGGACGGTTGTGAACGGTAAGGGCCCCACGGGCCTGCCTGCTAGCATGTGGGGCAGTTGTGAGTATGACGCGGATGCTAAATATACACTAGTGCACACTCACCTGGACGTTCCTTGGGGTGCAGACCCTGTCTTTGTCCTGTGGCAGCCCTGGCCCACAACTGGGGAACGAGGGCATCAGTGCAGAGTAGCCTGGGTAGAGAGAAACCTGGGGCTGGGGCTGATCTAGCTGAATGGCCAGCCTCGCACAGCTGAGCTTTGGCAACCCGGTCTCTTTAGGAGCCTGCGTGGGCAGCCGGCAGAGCGAGGCCATCCTTGGCTGTCCCGTGCTCCCTGCACACATCGCCGCTCGACAGCCCTGCTCGTGTGAAGGGTTTGGGCTGCTCTGGGGTTGTTTTTTTTTGGGTTTTTTTGCCCAGAAGATTAGCTGTAAATTATAAACACTGTAATCTAGTGTCAGCGCCCGGCTCCCTGATTAAAGGGCCCATTAGACTCAATCAGCTCTTTGTTTGTTCGGCGCTGATTAGAAAACAAGCAGCATCCAAGAGCTGCCTGGAAGCTGGCCACAGCCGGGGAACTTCCGGCTGCTCTCTGGTGTCGGCGGGTGAGCCCAGCGCCTTGCCCCCACTGCTTGGCATGGGTTTGCTCAGGCCTGGCCTGGGGCACAGGCAGCTGCTTGGGAGGGGGGCAGGGGTGGTGTTCTGGGCAGCAGAAAGGGACGGGAGTTGTACGGGGATGTCAGACACCCTGATCCAGACTCCTTCCCTGGGGCTTGGGGATGGGGCTGAGTTCACCTTCCTGTCCTGCTGCCCCTCTCCGAGACTCAGTGCCACCAGACACGGTGGAAGCTGAGAGCTCAGCTGGGTTCACCAAGGGCTTGGAGGAAAGGGCAATCGGTCGCTAGTGAGCATGGGAGAGAGGAGCACGGCCTCTGAACCAGAACGTCTTGGCCCTTCAATGCTGGAGGCTGCAAGGGAGAGGAACAGGGAGAAGCCCCCGGGAAGTGGCAGCTCTTATGCTCTAGTGGTCTGGAAACAGGGGCCCCTCGCCCACCCGCGTGCAGGATCCCCTGCCCCCCGGCAGCTCGGGGCTCTGAGACTGCAGGCGCAGGCCTCCCCGTCGCAGGAAAGTCTCTGCCCCCACGCTGCCTGCAGCCCCACAGCCCAGACGGGCTGAATCACCCCTGAATCAGGAGTCTGGCCATGGGGCAGCCGCGTGTGCCTATGTAGAGGTGTCCAGTCTCCAGGGCTGTCAGCTTCACTCCTTGCACCAGTCGGGCAGCGTGTCTAAAACAGGAATTGAATACTGGAAGAGGGGGGCAAGGTGGCAGCCCCCCCCATCTACCCCATTCCCAGTTAGAGTCTGACTGAGCTAATCCCTTTGATACGCCTCTGGGTTCGTTCAGATTAAACACTTACTCCAAATTAGCAAAAGGCATCGTAGGCAGCTTGTGACCTTTACGTGCTGCCTGTAACCCTGGAGCAGCTCCCTGGCTGGCGGGAATCTGGAGAAGCTCTGGTGGCCTCGCAGAGACAAATCTCCTGGACACAAGGACATATGGAGGCATTACGCACAGCTTGGCCAGGCCAGCTGCTGGGCTCTGGCCGGGGGAAGCTGCTGGGCCACTAGGCCACCACGAGATGGCGCTTGGGGCTGCAGCTGGTCCCCGGGAACAAGCAGGATCCGGCCCGGGTAGCAGAGGGCAGAGTCTGGGGAGTTCCCACACCAAGGGAGCCATGTCATCCAGGCTCACAGCCCCACACCTCTTCCTCCAAAGCATCTGCACAAGCCCCTGCCCACCTGGTGCTTGCAGGACACAGGGGTGGGTGAGCGACAGCGGCCTGAGTCTGGAGTCACAGTCATCCCAGACCAGCACTAGCGTATGCATGCACTCATGTCACACCCCTGTCATGCTGCCTACTAGCGTCACGCCGTGCCACATGCCTGCAGCAGGTGAGCACTGGCTGCGATGTGTAGGCCCATCATAATACGAGTGCCCCATTCACTGTCTCTGTGCCCATGCGTGTCCCTACTGA